TTGCCTGTGTTCCTGAGAAGCATCTACGGTACCAGTCTATAGAGTGTGTTTTCTTTAGTGAATTACCGGTATGTTTACCGGTAATAAACTTGCACTGTTTTATGTATATGTTTGATTACATACAGCCTTGTGACAGTTTTCCTGCATGTCATAAGCATTTGAATATAAATTAAAATGTTAAAATCAAATCTGATATTGTTTTACCTTTTCTTTGGTGTGTGGAAGGTGTGCGGAAGAGGGGGTAGTCTTATACGGCGAGTATATAACAAACTCTGTATTTTGAGTGGAAATGTTAGGGGGTCGTCTTATACGCCCAGTCGTCTTATACGCCGGCAAATATGGTAATAATAGTTGTTAGATCATATGGTGTTTACTAGGTGCCTGACAATGGTTATGAGCTTCTCATATAGTAACTCATTTCATCATTACAACAATCCTACAAGTTTCATTATTATTTCCATCTTACAGATGAGGAAACTGAGTCACGGAGAGTAACTTTCTAAGACTTTCAGAGGCAGGAAGTTAGCTAATATGTGGCATAGCTAGGATCCGAACCCTGGCCATCTGGCTCCAGATCCATGCCCTAAATCACTATGCCAAAAACACAAATATTTACCTTCAGTAAGTAAAACATGCATGGTGATAACAGAACCGACATGTAGCCTGCATGGCTAGCATACCGAGGAGTGGCAGGGACCACGACAAGCCCTCCAAATGAAGCAGCCACCACCAGTTCCAGTCCATTGATACCATGTGTGAATGCAAACTCATATTTCAAAAAGAAAATCTGATAATTTAAAAAAAGAAGCCAGCCCGGCCAGTATTGCTCAGTGGTTGAGTGTCAACCTGTGAACCAGGAGGTCACAGTTCCATTCCTGGTCAGGGCACATGCCTGGGTTGCGGGCTCGATCCCCAGTGTGGGGCCTGCAGGAGGCAACCGATCCATGATGTTCTCTCCCATCACTGGTATTTCCATCCCTCTCTCTTTCTCTCTGAAATAAAAATATTTTTTTTAAAATAAGCCAGGTACCTGGCTTTTCATTTGAAACATTGTTAAATATTGGCTCAAGGTTAATCAAAGAAACAAAACTTGTCAATCTCCACCTCCAGGCTCCCCTCACATTCAGTGACATCAGCAGCCCCCAGATATGCGTAATTTAATGTGTGCAGCAACCAGGACTGAAATACTTACAGTATTAACTCAACAGATAATAACTGGCCTCCTGCCAGGGGCCAGAGAATACGGTAGTGCCCACAAGACAGGAGAGGTCCCCCACAGAACCATGCTGCCGTGTCAGATCATGCTAGAATGTGGTGAATGGCATTCCCACAAAGTAGAATTCTGAGATTGTGTTCCATATTCTCCCGGAAGGGCAGATTAATGCAGACATTTCCGTGAACACCTACTATGTCCAGACACTCTGCTAAGAGCTCAGATGGTTTGGTCGATATTGAAAAGCTATCTATTCCTACTTCCTGCAGACAGGCGGAATACTTCCAGGCCAGGCGGACGGATTTGGGCTCATGTTTGAGTCCTAGCTTTGTGACAATAGACAAGTTACTTTGTTACTTAACCACTGTGCATCTTAGTTGACTCATCGGAAAATAGACATAATAACAGTGCCTGGCTGGCTAATGTAAAGCTGAAATAATGTAACGTAAATAAAGTGCTTGATATAGTACCTGGACCATCAGAACCATGCAGTCATCAATAAATATTAATTATTGCTACATAACTATTTAAATTATTCTTCAAAAGAAGGCCTTAAGAAGCACTGAAAATCTCTATTCAAAACCACAACCAAGGACTTTGGCAAGATCGATCATCTACATAGCAATAGACTCATTAAAAAGAGTTCAGAGGAAAAAAGGAAGCTACTATCCTTTGATCTGTTTATATTTAAGATGCTCTAAAAAGCTTCCTTTATATTACAACATATTTTTCTTTCTTTTCTCTTCCTTTAAATATATTTTTATTGTTTCAGAGAGGAAGGGAGAAGGAGTAAGAGATAGAAACAGTAATGATTAGAGAGAATTATTGATCGGCTGCCTCCTGTACGCCCCCTCCTGGGGATCGAGCCGCAACCTGGTCACGTCCCCTGACCAGGAATGGAACCCTGATCTCCTGGTTCCTAGGTTGATGCTCAACCACTGAGCCACCCTGGCTGGGTGACATATGCTTAATACAGCAGCATGCATAGGTTGCTGAAAAGCCTCAATTCACAAGTAAAAAGTGGGGGTGACAATACTGGGACAACAAAATGACACAGATGACTAACATTAAATAGATCTCCAGGTCACCTGGCACATCTGCAAGTATGGCTGCAACATCTGCATTACATTTTAGCTCCTGGAATGTGCAGAAAAAACAAACCCTCTCCAGGAGTTTGTTCTCTCTCTCACTGTGGCTGGAGCTTTCTTCAGCAAGGCTCCTCTGCTCATACGGCCAAGCACATGTGCTCTACCATCATTTCCTTCCCCTTCTGCGTTACTCATTTCTCTTGCCCTCTGATTCACTTGTCTGCCTAAGTTCCTTTCTCCCTTCACTTCCCCTTCTCCCACTTCTTGGCCACTGTATAAATACTGAAAACGATGAATAATGGAGTCACTGTTTGCCAACGGTCTACACATTTGGAAGAAAAGCAAAAGAATATGTAGATACCTGTTAAATATATATATATTTAAATGAGCTACTTCTAAGTACTTTTTGTATGGCTGTCATCTTCAAATTGATATTAAAATAATAAGCAACTGCCTGGCCAGTGTGGCTCAGTGGTTGAGCCTCAACCTGTGAACCTGGAGGTCAGGGCTCGATTCCTGGTCATGGCACATGCCTGGGTTGCGGGCTCCATCCCCAGTGTGGGGCGTGCAGGAGGCAGCCCATCAGTGATTCTCTCTCATCATTCAAGTTCCCATCCCTCACTCCCTCTCCCTTCCTCTCTCTGACATCAGAAAAATAAATGCCGGGCTGGATAGGAATTCAGGGCTGAGGTTCCTGGACTCTCCACACAGAACATCATTGGGCTGGAGTGGCGGGAAAGCCCAAGCTTTGGCTTCAAACAAACTGAGTTCAGACCCAACCTCAGAGGATGAGGATGGGCGCCAGCTCACAAAAGCATTGTGAGAATTCAGTGAGATGACACGGGGAGCACAGAGCAAAGAGCTCAGCAGCAAGC